CTAAAAGCTTTCCTGCCACAACTTAACAACTTAGCCCCTCGATCAAATTCACTGTGGAATTAGAGCAAGACTGTAAATTGCCATTCCTAGACTGTCTGATACACAGAATAGGTAACACTTTTAAGTTCAGTATCTATAGAAAACCAACTAATGTGTGTTCATACATTCATTATTATTCTGCCCACCATAATAAAGTCAAACAGTCAGTATTTTCAACAATGTTTTTACGTGCCTTGAGAATTTGCAGTCCAGAATTCATCGATGAGGAATACAAATATATATATAATATTGGCTCAAACCTTAAATACCCTAGATCTTTCATAGACAAATGCTTAAACATTACTAAGAAAACTTTTTATAGAACTGACCCCAAGCCCACCCATGACTATAACAATATCTTAATATTACCATTTCAAAAAAATTTCTCACACATTCCTGCACAGCTTAAAACCTGGAACGTCAATGTGGCATTTAAAAACTCATGCACTGTTAAACAAATGTTAATCAAGAACTCCCCCAACAACACAATTGGTTGCATTTATAAAGTTCCTTGCAAGGAATGTAACATGTTTTACTTAGGCCAGACAGGTAAAGATCTTGCAACTAGAATTAAACAACACAAATACAGTGTTAGGACAGGCCAGGAATCCAATGCTCTGTTTGTTCATTTGAGGAATAACAAGCATTGCATTGACTGGGATAATGCCTCCTCAATATTACCATGTAATTCAATTGATAGTAGGAACATCATAGAATCTAGTCTTATTAAACATACCGAAGCATTCAACATGAATTTGAGTAACGGCATGTACAAGCTGGACAATTTTGTAATTAAGAAGATTTGTGATCAGGTGAGAAGGCCGGGTCACTTGACCATCTGACCTGACCACCAACCGTTGTGTGCTATTTAAAGATTAGTAGGGTCATTACCTAATACCTGACCATTGTGGACCTGGTCTCACCCTCCTCTGTATATATACACCTTGATTTGTATTACTCTCTCTAGTCTGTACTCACCCTTGAAGATGTGAATTACACAAAAGCGCTTGGGAACTTCGTGTTTTCTTCTTTCCTTGTGGTTATCAGCATATATATATATATATATATATATATATATATATATATATATATATATATATATATATATATATATATATATATATATATATATATATATATATATATATATATATATATATATACATATATATACCCGTGTATAGCACGAGTTCTTAAGACCAAATTTTTTGGCAAAAAGTTGGGGGTCGACCTCTATACGGGTAATAGTTTCGTTAGGTTGAAAAATATTTACCAGTAACTACCAGTAAACAATGGAAACGATGCACCAACACACCACCAGTTGTGAGTGGCGGTACAGTTGCCAGGGCAGATCTCTTGCGACATCATAGCAAGCCCAAAGTAGCCAAATCCATGGTATGGTAGCACAGGACGATGTAAAACATAAAGTATTCATTTATTAAAGTTTATTTATAGATACTGTACAGTGTATAATGTGTACATAAATTTTTTTTCATTCCATTTGAAACGTCAATCTTTGTTAATTAAATTTGAAACAAAAGAAAACTACGATACCGCATTTTCATTAAAATATTACATCACAAGTATACTTTACCTTTACTGTGACTGAATGAATATACGTATTCTCAGAAATAAATATGGAAATATAATATTTTTGCTGGAATGACGTACATATTACAGTGGAAAGTGGGATAAAATCATGACGAAAACAATGACTTTTGCTTTCTTTCGTTATTCAAAAGATTTTACCGTAATTGCTTTTCGAATGGTTTTCAGTTAAAAAACTGTTGTACTCGTACTGTATTACAATAATATTCTATCCTATCATTAGCCTTATAATCCCACAACTGAAAACCATTCGAAAAGCGATTACGGTAACATCTTGAACAAAGTCATTGCTCGTCTGTTCTCATATATGTCATTCAGCAAAAATCGGATCTAAATGGTAGTTTTGTTGACACGTAATGTACAGTATTTAATATTAAAATGCAAAAAGAGCTATAAAAACAATTAATACACCCGTAATGTACTGGCTGGTATCTCCACTCGTCCCTGCTCCCGCGTCCAAGGTCACCACTCCTCCCAACTCGCTCCCTCTACTCCCTCCTCAGCCTCCTCCACCTCCTGTCCGTCACTACTGCCGACAACAAACACAAATGTATTGTGAATAACTGCACCTCCACTTCCTATGTACAGTACTGGGGCCGGATACTCAAAACACCTCAAAAGTTACGTTTTTCAGCATGATACAGTACCATATATTGTGGAAGCATTACAGTACCATAAATTTAGCATACTCAAAATTTAATTATGGTTCCGTAAGACTTCCGTAAGTTCTCGTAACTCTAGTGTTTACCCTGTAAATTAAGTTCTCTTGTCGGACGGTAGATGTCAGTGCAGATGCTAGTTGGCCAATCAACGCTCAGTTAACAAAATCATCAACCAATCACAAGAGAAGGAGAAATCAGCTGAGAGCGACGCACGTAATATTATTTTGTAAACATGGAAGGACCACCAGCCAAGAAGAGACGGCCTAGAACTAGAACTAGAAAAGAAAAATGCTAGTGACAGGGGGGAAGGAGGTTCAGAGGAAGAATAAAGGGAGAATGGAAGTGAATTTTAGAAGGAGAGAACAGGTGCAGTGGCTAAACACCGCTTGCGTGAGGGGGTAGGCAAAATGCCCTAAGGGTGCAACAATCACAATCAGGACGAGGCAGAGGGAGGGCGGGAGCAGGTCCGGGCAAGCAAAGGGCCAAGGCGGGTGCTCTGGTTGTCGTCTAGCTTAGGCAGTGTTGGCAAAGCGGAGGAAGAACCGCCCCGCCACGGCGGCGGTACAAGCCGAGAAGCGCAGGTGGACGGACGCACAGGCCACACACGAACAAATTAACAGAGAAGGTGAAAACATGGAAATTTTGCTAGTCGTAGGGTTGTTTGGAGAAAGAAGAAGGTAAAGTCTTTGAGCTATGTCAAAGAGGAACAGAGCGAGTTGGAGGAAGGGTTTTGAATCTTTGAGCTTGAAATGTCAAAGTATTCATAGTAAGGAAGGATGAGCGTATCATAGGAGAGTTTTTAGTAATAGCAGCAGACAGATTTGAGCTTTTTTGTCAAATTATGAACGGAGACGAGAATGAGATATAGGCTGAATGGTTTCAGTCTTGAGTTAGGTCGATTTTATTGAGAATTGGATGTCACAGACGTTGGGTATGTTTTGATTTGGTTCTGAGAGTTGTGGGTCTTTGAGCTATGTTAGAGAGAAGTGGAGAGAGTTGGAGGAAGAGTTTTGAATCTTTGAGTTTGAAATGTCAAAGTATTCGTAGTAAGGAAGGATGAGTGTATCGTAGGAGAGTTATTTAGTAATAGCAGGGGACAGATTTGAGCTTTGTCAAATTGTGAACGGAGATGAGAGTGAGATATAGGTTGTTTCGTTTCAGTCTTGAGTAAGGTCGATTTTGTTGACAGTGGCTGGTATAGAGGTTGGATATGTTTGATTTGGTTTTGGAGAGTTGTAGTGTTATGAGTGGCTTTGTCTGTTTGGAGATTGGTTGTGGATTGGCGGGGGTGGCGGTTGTATGTTGATTTGAGGTGAATTAGAATTGCTTAAGGGGGGTTGTTGTGTGAGTGTGTATGTGTTTGCGTGGAAATGTAGTAAGGGGAGAGGGGGAGGGTTAGGATAATTGTTATAAGGTCAGGTATGGTTCGGTTGTCGGGAGGAGGGGGGAGGAGAGGAGAGGAGAGGGGAGGCGAGGAGAGGAGAGGGGGGCTTTGGAGGTTGTTGGGTTAATTTATAGTATGGAAGGATTCCTTAGGTGTGATATGATTTGTGTTGCTAATGAATAGTTGTATTGAGTCATAGGTTTTTTTTTTTTTTTTTTTTTTTTTTTTTAGGAGGGTCAGGCTTGTTAGAAAGGTCGGGCTGTTAAGTTTTTCTTTTGGAGGATTGAAAGGTGCTGATTAGTGACTGGATGATGAGTTAGCTTTTTTTTTTTTTTTTTTTGGGAGGATTGTGAGTACGATTGGGTGGGTTAAGTTTTTCTTTTGGGAGGATTGAAGGTGTTGATTAGTGATTGGATGGAGAGTTAGCATTTTTTTTTTTTTTTATAGGAGGGATTGTGAGTAAGGTTGGGTGGGTTAAGTTTTTCTTTTGGGAGGATTGTAGGTTTTGTTAGTAGTTGGCAGAGTTGGGTTAATCATTGCATTCTTTCTTCCCTTTGGCTAGTAAAGGACTTCTGCAATTGCGGTAGGCTCTTGCAGGTATTGTGAGTTCTGGCCCCATTCTTGAGGGAGAGGGTTTGTGTACAGGTACATTGCACCCCTCCCCGACCTTATTGGCTAAAGGAGGCGTTCAATGTCGTCTGCAATTTGGTACCGTTTTTATTAGGCACACCTCTCCGACCTTATTGGCTAAGGGAGGTGCCCATAAAACAGTGTAGGTAACATTCTTGAGGGAGGGCTTGCGTACAGGCACTGTGGAACTCTCCCCGACCTTATTGGCTAAGGGAAACGTACATGTCATCCGAGTTAGTATGGGATGGGTAAGTTAGGTATTTGTTTTGGGAGGAGTGATAGGGTGTGGTTAGTTAATGGTAGAATGGTTATTTATTATTTTGTGTGGGATTGCTAGTAACGGCTGGGTATGTTAGGTTTTTATTTTGGGAGGAGTGATAGGGTGTGGTTAGTTAACGGTAAAATGGTGTTTTTTTTTTTTGTTTTTTTTTTTTGTGTGGGATTGCTAGTAACGGCTGGGTATGTTAGGTTTTTATTTTGGGGGGAAGAGACGGCCTAATTTCAGTGAGGCTGAAGTATACGCTCTTGTGACTGAGGTAGCCAAACGAAAAGAAATGATTTTAGGGAAGTTGGACTCAAGTAGTTGTACACTTCAACTCAAAAACCATGCCTGGGGTGAAGTGTTAAATGCGGTGAATGCTGTTGGTAGAGTCACCCGCAATGTTACTGAAATTCGGCGGAAGTTTTCCTTCGTGTTAGCGTTAAGAAAAAAGCAGCACAAGATAAGAAATATGCTGGTGGAACAGGTAAGTCATAATATTGTTAGCGTGGTTATTGATTGATAATATGAAACAAACTTAACTATGGTTTTTCTGAGGCTTGGTACGATTTTCGTGTTTGTAAACTCAAGGAAGTAAGTAGTGTGGTGGCTCTCCATCGTGAATGAATACACATATTTTCCTTATATGAGCACATTCATTAAAAGAAACATCGTTCTTCGAAGTTTTCCGTGTGAGTAAATAGTAAAAACTTTACCGTTCAACCTAATTTTTTTTTTCTTTTTACGTGGATTAACCAACCCAGGCACAGTCACTGACCCACGTCGGGGCCTGTAATAATAATTCTTTAGTACTATTAATAAAAATACCTCTTTATTAATAATAATATTAATAATAAATAACCATAAATACCGAAATGAAAACACAAAAAGTGAGAATCAATATACAGTATGTACGTTGTGTTGTTGATATTACGAGAAACAATTGCGACCCTGCACTTGTGTGTAAATGACACATTTAGTCAGATCAGCAACCTTGGACTTGCTCCTAATTTTCGTGATGCCAAATGGCAGCAGGGTCTACCATTAGACAACACATTATGCTTCCAATATCTTCCCACCCGGTAGTCAGGGAAGTCTGTACAACTGTTAATAATTTCCCCACAACTTTTGGATTTTCTTATTATACCTATCATATAGATTACACAATTTTAAGACACACTTGTCATTGTGTCGCAACTGACGTGGAACAGAGATAGTTAATATGAGTTTGTGTGGCAGGGCGGCGGAGGCCTCCCGTTGGTAAAGGAAGCTAGGTTAGGTAGGTTTGGTTACTGTTATAAACTACATATTAATAATTACGTTATTTCCGACGGTAATGAAGGTCATAATGTATAAGTTGCCATAGAATTCCTTTTTTTATGTCGTTAATTTTCATTCATCAATAGATTTATATTCATATTTGGTATACATTAATATGTAAATTTTATTTTGTTAGGCTTATAGGCAAGGATGTTCTATCTTATGAGTTTACAACTAATACAGGTTGAAAATTTCTGGCTGCGACTATTTTTTTTGACTTATTTTACCATTTATTGTTTGTTACCTTAAATCTAATTAACTTTTGACATAGATAAAGGAGAATTTTTGTGGCTACAGCTACAATGATAGGTTAGGTTATAATGTTTGGAACTATTTCAGTAGATTCCTTTGTAACTATGATTTCTGCCAAATATAACATAGTTAGCATATAGTGTATGTAACCACAGCTCACAGTAAGACAACTATTTCAGTAGATTCCTTTGTAACTATGATTTCTGCCAAATATAACATAGTTAGCGTATAGTGTATGTAACCACAGCTCACAGTAAGACAGTTATTATTTATATTTTCTCTTCAAGGTGGCGGCCCCCAAATTGAAATTACATACACTGCAATTGAAGAAGCAATTCTTCAACTATTAGATCCAGCCTCTATACATGGGATTCCAGGGGATGTTGAAAGTGAAGAACCTATTAATGGTAATTCAGTCAAAATACTTTTCCAACCCCCTGATATATTTTGTTTTTTTCTGCCCTTGTTTTTATTTAAAAAAAAACTTTTGGAGACATTTTTTCACATCTTGATTTGGAAATACTGTACAGTATACTGATTTTTTTATATAATTTTGAAAAATAACGACACTAGTAAGTTGGTTTCATTTCTAGCTTGTTTATTGCTTCCCTAATTTATATATTAAATGTTTTTATAACTCGTATGTTAATGGACAAAATTGAGAAGTGCAAATATAAGAAATTTAACGCCTAGTTGATATTTAGATTTAAAAATATTTTAAACAAATATATTTAGATGGTCAACACTATTTTTCAAACCATTATTTTTCCTAAAAGCTTTTGTATATTTGGAAATACAGTGTAATATTTTAATTATACTCTTAACATAGACTTCAATCAACCTATTATACTACATTTCTTTCCAGAAGAAGAAAGAGAACCAACCCCCAGACCCTCAGGAGCTAGGTTTACAGCTACCGGTAGTTGTTTCCGAGAGGAATTTATGTTTCGGCCCGTTCAAGAGAAAGATGATTCTATAACCCGCATTCTGAATGAGGATATACAGGAACATGATATCACAGTACCCATTGTGCATTTAGAACCTGAAATTTCAGCACCTACAAACATTCCTGGATTTTCATCATCCGGAACATATGAGGTAGAAACATGTAGTTCAAGCAATACTCGTCAACCTATTGCTGCTACCAAGGAACAGCGAAGTAGGTCTAGTACCCCTTCTGCCACAGCTGTTAGGTCAACTGTAACTGGTGATTACACTGATGAAATGGATTCATCTCCAATGCCAAGTACGAGCAGTAGTGGCAGGAGGCCACGAACCTCTTCTGCCCGAAAAGATGAAGATCTTCTTCGAGAGATGCTTCGTGTTCAAACACAAATGAGGGACAGTTTTTTACAGCTTGTAGCTCACACAGAGTGCATTGCATCTGCAATGCTATGCATTGCAAAAGTTATGCAGTCGAAAAATCCTATCCAATGATGCTGTGTTTATGGTATGTGTATATGTAGTTGTTTACTTAGGTAAGTCCTTTACTTTTGGTAAATGTGATAATAGCGTAGTTGAAAAGTCATCAAACACTTATTATAAATTTTCATTTGAGTGATTGTTATGAAGGAAGACCGCATGTTAAAAAATTGTGTAACTTTCACTTGCAGCCTATACTAGTCATGAAAATGTAACAGGAATATTTAGCTCTCCATAAGTTCATTAAAATCACGAAGTTAAGTGAAAGACACACATTTGTCAACTAATAACATGTGTTGCAGTGCTACTACGGGTAATGTTTACCCAAGTTTTGGGTAAAAGTTCCTACCACACTCAAAATTATATGTTTGAAAAGAGGCTCATGTACTTATTTTTATTTTTTAAAGGTTCCTTTATTTTGTAAGACGTAGTCAATTTCCAGTTCAACGAGTTTTATTTATTAGTTTGTAGTTTGCGAAGTATGATTCAAGTAGGTTGAAACAGAAATAATGGTGCCAATTCACCAACAGCCTACTGTAATCGCTGCTATTTAACACACATTAGTCTCCAAAGCGCAAGTTGTTGCATTGGTTCTATCATAAGGATGTGCTGTCTCATGTTACATTTTGTAGCTTAACAAGCAAAGAGTACTGTATTCTATTTTTTCTTTATTACTTGTAGTAGTACAGTATTGGGTTATAAGTTTCTTTTAATTTACGGGTATTGATGCAGATAATTCTAGACATATGAAAATTATACTGTATTTCATTCTTAAATCTAAAAAATGGCAACAAATAACAGTAGTTGTATTATTATTTCACAACGATGTGGTGACCCATGTCAAACTGTGTACGGTAGTTTAAGATGCAAACAGTAGCAATATTTTTTTATTGTTTCAATTTCTCAAATATGTTTTATATAAGGGATTTTTTGTTTCACAAACTTTAGTGCCTTTGGTATTTAGTAGTATTAAAAGTATACTGTATTGGAATCAAATTTGCTCAAGGATATAGTACATATATTATTAAGGTAAAAGAAAGCCATTTAATTTCTATAAAGAAGTTTATTTTTTTATGTACAGAATATTGAAAATAAAAGTTAAATCAATGTACGCTTTATTCGCATTACCTCTGTATACTGCACTAAAAAGTACTATTTAAACATAGAGGAAAATTGTATTGGTGAATTGATATTTGATTTTAATTCATCAAGTAAACCAATTACGGACTACATTGGCTCGGACTGCTTGGCCTGTCCCTGCTACAGCCTCAGCTGTATCACTAAGTACATGTTGAAAGGTTCCATTGGCATAAAATCTTAAGGCAACTAACACTTGCGTGTGTATGGGAACAGCATGAGATCTTCTCGTTCTACGCCTTAAAAATGGATCTAAATCTTAACACAGTCTTAGAATTTCACATCGAGGAAACCTATATCTAATTAGATTTTCATCGCTTATATTTTTGGGATCCAAAGGGTCCCGATACCTTCGTTCACGTCGTAAAGCTCGATCATGCAGATAAGCTACAACAAGATCCATTGCAGGGTAACTGGAAAATGAGGTCCAAGTGTTACTGGATCAATCTGCAGGACAAAAAATTATGCAATGGTTTAGAAGTTTGTTACAGTATTGTTTTTATGTTGATACTAACTAATTCAAAGTTTTATCATTAGGCCTAGAATTGAAAGGTTATGCCTGTGAAAAACAAAAATTACAGCCTTAAGGTTTTGCCTGGCTCTTAGGGGTAAAATACTGAAAAATGCACAACGCGTTAAAATCTCTGTATTCATTTAAAATTGAAAAAATTGTTCATTATTCAAGTAAATAAGGGTGTTAAAAGCATTTAAAAGACATCCTCTTGCCTCAAAGTCTGTCACATACTCGCATTTGAAACTGATTTCTGGTAGGAACAGCAGCCTTCTCCGTTAGCCGGAATCCTTGAAACCCGGAACTTTCTGAAAGCCGTAATTGAAATTTTATCTAAAATTAATTCCCAAAGCATGATTTTGCAAGAAACTTACGGCTTAGGTAAATGACTTTCAGAGAGGCACATTTTCCTGAAAACTATGAGGAAAGTTTCCCAGATAACCGAGAAAATTCCGGAGATGGGGGATATATTTCCGGGTTCGAGAGATGATGTAATGGGCAATTGCCGGAACTACCGAGAAATTTTTTCCATTACCATAAACATTCTGGGGATGAGGGATATTTTCTTGATTTGTGATAACTGTCTCGTTAACGGGAAAACACTCATTCATTCACGGTAGTGCTCTTCACCAATTGTTCTGGCTAACAGAGATCTCACAGTATTTGGTGTTTTACCCCACTAGAATTTAGGTAAATAATCCCTTGCATAATGTTGGCCTGTGACAAGACACATAAGCTATACTAAGATAGCCTTATCCTGGGCAAATTCAAATAAATTGGTTAATGATAGTATAGCCTTGCCTAACCTAAATGACAAATCACTTCTCTTAAATTACTCATTTAGCCTAGACCCTGGTGTTTTCCTTTCAATGTTGGGAACATTTGGTCTGAATTGTCTTCAAGTTCATACAAAAAACAACAATTTAAAACCTGAAAATATATCGGATTAGCCGTAAATTTTCTTAAATTAATACTCTACCTATGATAATGCTCAAGGAAAGTCTGGAACTAGGCCTAAGGTAGCTGCTAGACAAAGTGTCTCACTTAGATAATATGCTGTTATTACTATTGTTATCATCTTTATTACCATTGTTATTACTATTGTTTTTATTATGAGATAGAATAATAAAAGAGGTACAGGTAATCTTCACCATTCAGATTGATGACGTAGAGGAGTTAACAATAATTGTGTCAGAATTAGTAGGGCGGGGAGCAACAACGGCATCCTGACCAACACTTATCTCACCTTCATATCTGGAAAAAGGTTACATACACACACACACGCACCTCGACGCTTCACGGGCATAGAAACAAAAGATAGTGGTAAAGAAAATCGTTCAAGGGAATCGGAGTTAGTTGAGCCTAATGAATAATCCATTAGAAAATATCCTTACCTGGCGTTACCTGTAGATGGAAGAGCCTACAACATGTTCTCTTTGTTTTGGGGAGTAAATTAAACGTCTTAAATCCCTTTCTGTACTATTTAAACTCCTTCTATAATCCCCAGATTAAGGTACACGATACAGAATACCTAAATAGTAATCCCACGGGGGCCGTCAACACCACTCACATGCCACTTGGAAGGAAATCGACGTAAAAGGGGACAGGTTTTTGTGTTGACTTGATAAACTATGTAGCTGTAAAGTTTACCATTGATATCTTATGGTGGTGGGGAGTAGGAGTGGGGAAGGAGAGGCACGGGAGAGAGGGACAGGGGGAGGAGAGGGGAGGGTGGAAGGTGAGGGGGAGATGATGTTGATATATCTAAGTTGTATCATTTTATCTTCGATTCTTAATTAAGGTGGAACAATATAAAGGTTACTCGTATCAAGACGTAAAGATGAGTCACTGTGCTTTCTGATTGATTTTGCCGCTTGCAGCGGCTACTTTATTGTGCACCCCACACTCATCCTGTGAGCGGTAGCGCAAAAGGATTACAGAGTAGGGTTTACAAAGGGTCATAATAATTAACCCCCGTTGTCAGGATATTATGGCACTGAAAGTTACACAGTATTTCATTTACATTATTTGTTTGGTTCTATACATAAAGGGTAACTTATTCACAAATGCGTGAGAACAGGCGTGTGAGGCAGTATGTCTGGCCTCACACTTTGTTATTCACATTTACGTGGGAGGTATTCAAGCACATTACGTATTTGGTTCTGTACATGAGAATTGATATAGTTACTAAGTGCAAAAAAGTGGATACAATCTTAATATGTCGGCTATCTTGCCATTAGAGATGAAGTGTTGTGCCATTTCACACACAGTGTGCTTGGACCTGTCCCTAAAAGGTTCTATCTTCACACAGTCGAGGACGTAGTGTTCAAGTGTGTGGCCATATGTATGGCCACACACTTTACATTTAGTTTTGTTTACATCTGCTTTAGGAACATACTGCCAAAGTACTTGTATCCTAACCTTAATCTAGCGGTTACAACATCTTGTAATCTATTGATCTTGTTACTTGCTCCATATACATGTTTCACTTGATACATCTCATCATGGTAACCTATGGATCGACTATTGCCTGTTTGCACTTGTCTACTTGCGTCAAACTCATCAATGAGTTCTTTCCTAATTACAGTTTTAAGGGTTCTTTTTGACAGACCCAAATTGTATTCAACGGTGTCTTTGTTAGACGCGAGTTTGGCGAGGGCATCAACTCTGTCATGTTTTATGAGGCCTATGTGAGAGGGGATCCACAACAGTTTGACCCTGACACCCCGATCAACAAGGCACGCATATTTGTGTCTGGCTTCAGAGACAAGAGCGTGACAACCTGAGTCGAGGGTACCAAGGGCAAGTAGTGAGGATAGAGAGTCAGTGATGATGAGACTGTCGGTAACAGTGGTTTCAGTGAATTTAATAGCTGTGAATATGGTAACTAATTCAGTTTGTAGAGTGGATGCCCAGTTGTTAATTCTAACTCCTTTCTCAATTATATTACCGGCAGGTTGAGTCACAACAATAGCACTTCCAGCCCTCCCACAGGCGGTGTTTAGAGATCCATCAGTGTAGATGGTCTGTGTGATATTATCATCAGTCTGTAGAGTGTGTATGTGTTCAAGAGCTCTCAATTTGGCAGTGTGTTGGAGATAAATGCTTTGTATAATTAATTTTTTAGGCGGATACGTCGGTATTGTGATATCAAAAGGAACTGTCCGCCAGGGTGGCAGGAAGCGCTGTTGTGTCTCAACTTTGTACAGGTGGTCTAGTCCAAACATCTTCATATGTGTAGCTGTAGTTTGGATCCATTTAGACTCAGTAGTCCCAAGGTTCATACATTCTATCAATTTTAAGGAAACAATGTTATCAGGATCACCACGCAGAAGCCTCAGGGCTATCATGAGGTTGACTTCAATTATTCTATCTTTAACACCGGGTATACCTAGTTCTTTCCTCATATTAAGTACTTTAGTGCTCATGGGACATCCTAGGATAATTCTGAGGGCTTTATTTTGCATTTTCTCGAGCTTGTCAACGCCTTTCCCGTCACGAATGACCAGGGCTGGTGCGTGGTAATCTATCAGAGATCTTATATAGCTTAGGCACATTGTTTTAACAATTCTAATATTAGCACCATAGTGCGGGCTGTACCCCGCTACACTTCTAAGAGGTCTCAGTCTGTCAGTACATTGGCTGGTTAGCTGTTGTATGGCAGGTAGGGTACAAGGGACGGAAACACCAAGATATTTAAAAGAAGAAACATAGTCAATAGTGTTGTTAACAATCTTGAACTTGGCGGGGCCGCGTTTGCGGTTACCA